AATCCTCAGTTTGGCTCGAATAAAATTTTCCATTTCTTTTTTAGATCAACTATTAATTTTTTGTTCACATTATATTGGCCTCAGAAAATTTTCAGACAGCACTTGTGGTCAAGAACTGGTCCAGTAATGCTGATTTCTCCGAAATGAAAAGAACAAAAGGCCAGTAAATCTTACGGAGTAGATATGTTAACTTTTAGGTAATTATCTAAATAATCTGGTGGAGGCTGTGGTAATTATGGGTCTACCTCCCCCCCCCCCGTAGTTATTCAATTTTTTTGTATATCTATATAAGAAACTACTAAATATAACATTTTATATTCCTACGTGACATGTAAAATCTTCTGCTTCCCATGACTGTACTTGCCTTTTTTTTTTCCCCTACAGGTTGCTTCTGAGTTATGCAGGGTCACCCCTAACCCCACTGGAAATGAACTCAGTTCATTTAAAGTGCTACATTGCAGAGCAAACAGCAAAAAAGTACTAGGTTCTTTTCCTAAGCTCTACTTCCTAAGGAGAGGGATTTGGGGGTCTTGATTTTTCATCTGCCAAATGGAAAACTTTCTTCTTCTATACACCCAGGAATTGCTGACCTGAAGATTAGAGAATTTAGTGCTCGGTTGTCATAATAAAACAGTTCCCAGCAGAGGTCTATTGATATTGTGACAAGGACAGACCAAGATTATCTAAGTACTTTTACGTACAGTTGCTATACTGAACTTCAACTTTTGGTAATAAAGTATATGCTGAGAGTTTAGAGTGATTTTAAGAAATGCCTGAATAATTCTACACATGACTAATCAAAGAAAAAGCTTGCTTGTCTAGCCTTAAATTCAAGAGTGAAGATATTTCTTTTAATTAATATGTATTTTTTACTCTGTCCACAAACCAATATTATAATAAATGAATTTTTCTCAACCATGTTTTTTAGAATTTATTTTTAATTTTTTCAACTATTCATTTTGAAATATTTTCATACTTAAGAGAAAGTTGAGAAAAAATAGAAGAATTCACATGTGCTCTTCACCCAGCTTCTACAAATGTTAACATCTTGTGTAACCACAGTACCATTTTCTTTTTTTTTTTTCTTTTGTGGTACGCGGGCCTCTCACTGTTGTGGCCTCTCCCGTTGTGGAGCACAGGCTCCGGACGCGCAGGCTCAGCGGCCACGGCTCACGGGCCCAGCCGCTCCGCGGCATGTGGGATCTTCCCGGACCGGGGCACGAACCCGCGTCCCCTGCTCGGCAGGCGGACTCTCAACCACTGTGCCACCAGGGAAGCCCCACAGTACCATTTTCAAAACAGGAAATTAACTTGACATAGTACTACTAAGTAATCTGCAGACCTTATTCAAATTTTGTCCTGTCCTACTACTTTTTTTGCTCAGGATTCAATCCCAGATCTTAGACTGCATTTAGTTTTCATGCTTTGTTAGTCTTTAATCTGGGCCAGTCCTCAGTTTTTCTTTGTCTTTCATGACAATGAAACAGTAGTTTTTCTTTGCCTTTCTTTGACTCTTTGAAGAGTATTGGCCAGTTATTTTGTAAAATGTTGCTCATTTAGGTTTGTCTGATGTTTCCTCATGATTATATTCAGGCTATGAATTTTTGGCAAGAATGTCACAAAAGTGACATCGTGCCCTGCTCAGTACATTCTATCAGGAGGAATATAGTTGACGTGTTCCATCACTGGTGATGCTAACCTTGATCACTTAGTTAAGATGGCATTTTGCCAGGTTTCACTGCTGTCAAGTTACAGTTCTTCCCTTTGAAATTAATTAGCATCTAAGAGAGGATACTTTATGTAAATACTCTGCTTTTCATCATACTTTTGCCCACTCATTTTAGCACTCATTAATTATCTTTGCCTGAAATAATTATTTCTGTTGCTAAATGCTGATTTTCTATTGTCAACATTCCTTCTACATATATTAATTGGGATAATATTGTAAGAAATAGTTCATTCATTCAATTATTTATTTACTATTTATTTATTTTAACATCTTTATTGGAGTATAATTGCTTTACAATGTTGTGTTAGTTTCTGCTGTATAACAAAGTGAATCAGCTATATGTATACACGTATCCCCGTATCCCCTCCCTTTTGCGTCTCCCTCCCACCCTCCCTACCCCAACCCTCTAGGTGGTCACAAAGCACTGAGCTGATCTCCCTGTGCTATGCAGCTGCTTCCCACTAGCTATCTGTTTTACATTTGATAGTGTATGTATGTCCATGCCACTCTCTCACTTAATCCCAGCTTACCCTTCCCCCTCCCTGTATCCTCAAGTCCATTCTCTATGTCTGCGTCTTTATTCCTGTCCTACCCCTAGGTTCTTCAGAACCTTTTTTTTTAGATTCCATATATATGTGTTAGCAAACGGTATTTGTTTGTCTCCTTCTGACTTGCTTCACTCCGTATGACAGACTCTAGGTCCATCCACCTTACTACAAATAACTCAGTTTTGTTTCTTTTTATGGCCGAGTAATATTCCATTGTATATATGTGCCACATCTTCTTTATCCATTCATCTGTTGATGGACACTTAGGTTGCTTCCATATCCTGGCTATTGTAAACAGTGCTGCAATGAACATTGTGGTACATGTCTCTCTTTGAATTATGGTTTTCTCGGGGTATATGCCCAGGAGTGGAACTGCTGGATCATCTGGTAGTTCTGTTTTTAGTTTTTTAAGGAACCTCCATATTGTTCTGCATAGTGGCTGTATCAAAAAAAATCTACAAACAATAAATGCTGGAGAGGGTGTGGAGAAAAAGGAACCCTCTTGCACCATTGGTGGGAATGTAAATTGATACAGCCACTATTTATTTACTTTTAAAATGATCAGTTTGGCTTGACTCTCTAGAGACCATCAGTTAGGAATGGTTTGTGAATGAGAATTAATATGACAACCTTTGGGTACTGTAATCTCCATTCCCCCTCCCCACCCCCCCAAGAACTGCTTCCTTTTGTGATATCTGAGGAGCTGATTTTTTTTTTTAATTGTCGCTGATCTGGAAAAGAACTTGTATGGTTTTGTAGAGAGGATCATTGAGAAGATTCATCTCTCACTATGAATCTGTTTGCATCCATGGATCTGCACTGTGGCTGAACATCTTTCCAAGAAAAAGACCTTGAACTCTGTGAAGGCATATACAACATGTGTGATGGATGTGGTCCTCATGGGGACCAGAGTTTCAGAAGGAACAATGTGGGGCATGAGAGCAAGAGAAAAAGGAGCCTGATCTGGTAAGTCAGACCCAAACAGAGTGCTAGCTTCAGAGGAGGTATAGATTTTAGATCGCTGATGTAGCACTTACCTCTGATGTAGAACACAGACCTCTGGCTTTAGTGTGACTCTTGGTAAAAGTTGCTTAGGGTATTAATGAAAAGAACTGTGTGTGTGGGAGGGATAAATTAGGACTCTGGGATTAAAATATACATGCTATTATATATAAAATGGATTACCAACAAGGACTTACTATGTAGCACAGGGAACTACACTCATTATCTTGTAATAACCTATAACGGAAAAGAATCTAAAAACAAATATATATCTAAAAAAGAATATATATATGAAACCGAATCACTTTGCTGTACACCTGAAACTAACACAACATTGTAAATCAGTTGTATTTCAACTTAAAAAAAAAAAAGTTGTTGAGAGCTGGAATAACAGGCACTCACTCATTGCTGGCAACAGTGTAATATTTTGTTACATAAAAAAAAACCCTCTCAAATGTAGTATGTTAATATTTGCGTAAAAAGAGGGTGAAAAAATAGATGTACATTTTTGCTTGTTACAGGAGGGCAATTAGTGGCTGGAGGACAGGGATGGAACAGGTTTTTCATGGTTTACCCTCTTGAGCCATGTGATCCTATGCACTACTTTTCTTAAACTAAAAAATTTAAGTTTAAAAAGCAAAAGAAGGGCTTCCCTCGTGGCGCAGTGGTTAAGAGTCCGCCTGCCGATGCAGGGGACACGGGTTCGTGCCCCGGTCCGGGAAGATCCCACATGTCGCGGAGCGGTTGGGCCCGTGAGCCATGGCCGCTGAGCCTGTGCGTCCGGAGCCTGTGCTCCGCAACGGGAGAGGCCACACAGTGAGAGGCCCGCATACCGCAAAAAAAAACCCCAAAGACAAACAAACAAACAAAAAAAAGCAAAAGAAGGGGGAAGAGGAGCAGCATTTATTAGCCAAGGTGGAAGCAGCAGTGGCTCCCCACCACTGCAGGGATAGGAGGGCCCAGGTGTTAAGCACACCTCCCATTTGGGGGCCACAGCAGTGATAGCTGGGTCAGCAAGGCCTGGCCTAGACCCTAGGAATCAAAGACATTTCCAGCCAGGCTTAGCATGGTGGTGCTACAAGCATAGGGGCAGAATGTCCCAAGTTAGAGGAAGTAAGAATTGGGTGCATTTCACCTGTATTAGGAATGAACAAACCTGTTCCGATTGATCATTTGGAAAAAGCAAACACTCTGGAGGTGGTGAGTTCCGAAAGCCTCGGTGCGCTTGCATGGACAAACTTCTAGCAGCAGGGTTTTCTAAGTATGGTTCCCTCTGGTCCCCTCCACCATGCTTAACATCCCCTCTGCTTAGGCAGGGTGAAGAGGCACATGTGGGAAGGAGCCCTCAGCATCAGCCAGAACATGTTGGAAACACATCATTTCTTCAATGCTCTCAGGAATCGGTATGGGGTTTTAAAATGGCTCAAAGCTTGACGGGAAGGAATGGGTAGGAGGTGATAGTTCATACTCCTTTTCCACCCAGACACTTGAATTATTATTCATTTTCCTGTCTCAACCTGTTTTGATATTAGGATTTCTTCTGCTTCAGTTGTCAAGTTCTCTTACCAAACAGAGCTCATTGTTCACAGATCAGTGAAGCGCTATTCTCTGCTTGTAACCTTGGAAATGGGGGGAGGGAGTATTTTGAAAATGACACAACAGAGTGTAAAGCTATGAAACAAGAAAGGGAGCCTCAGACAGAATACAACAATCATCTGAGAATTAATAAAAGCCACATGTAGAGAGATACTTTCATTATTTTCTATTTTTCTTTTGGGTTTTCATGCTTTTGATTTTCCCAGTTTAGCCACAGAGAGTGTTTGTGGGCATGGAAAAGCATGTTGGCTGGGTTTCCTATAAGACTTTCAGTTTTTACAAAACAGGCAAACAAAACCAGATTTTGTCATACTAGCATCTCAAGGCCTAGCACCTGGGTCCTTTCTTCACTAAAAAAATTTTAAAAATATATACACACATACATGTATGTATGTTTGGTTGGATGGATGGATAGATAGGCAGACATATATAGATAACATAGAACATTAACTGCTAGGGATCCTATACATCATAGGTCAATGCCTTCATTTCACAGATTAGAAGATGGAGGCTTAAAGAAGTAAAATGAGAAGTAAAATGACCAATTGTAATTCAAACTTCTATCTTCCAGCTCCAAGTTAAGGGCTCTGTCACTTGTGAAGCATTCCTTTTAAGGAGGGGTTTTCTAGTGGAGTTAGCAAATACTGTGATTCCTTGATGGTTTCAGATAAGTCCCAATACCTGATACTCCTTTGGCAGGCACATGGGAAGAGAGTGGTGCAGCAGTTGCTATTTTAACCTCCAGCAGCACAGGAATAAAAGGAGCTGATTCGGACATTCAGCCATTCATCCTTTTATTGAATACATCCTCATGCAGGACTGTGTTAGGTTCTGTGAGGAATAAAAGATGAATAAAATTAATGGTGTATAAGAATATTTATAGTAAAATCCCAGAGAGAGAGGGAGACAAGGAGTGAGTGAGCTTTGCGTATACACCAAAATGTTAACCATGCTCATTCCTAAGAGAGGTAATTAAAGGCTACTCTCTCCTACCTTCTTCTTTCTTTCTTTTTTTGTTAATCTTAAATGTTTACATTCTGCATAATAAACATGCACTGCTTTTGGAATAGGGAAAAAAGTTATTTTTAATTTAAAAAATTGACTAAGACATGCTGTGTGGGTTCTCCAGAGAGCCAAGTGGGCTATGGTTGAAGTGTCCTTGGTGGTCTCTCACCTCCCCCAAAGGTCTGGCTTCTGGGAAGCCCTGGCTGGGTGGAAGCATGGACGAGGAGGGCATTGTTCTTGTATTCCCATGGCCCTATCTTACCCCAGCTACTGCCTCTTGGGCAGCAAGTGCTTTGCATTAATTCTCATGGTCACATTACTCTCTTGATTGTTATACTTGTCCATGCTAAATAAGGGACAAACTGCTGTCACTGGCATAGCATGGAACAACAGAGACACACTCACTGGTTACCTAAAAAAGAAATAAATGAAAGAATCAAAAACATTTAAATAATCTTTTCCTAACTTAGAAAGTGTAAAAGATGAATTTTTTTTTTGAGAGAAAGTCAGCTGTGTTAAATCTCATACAAGTATTTCAGTTTAAAGGCACAATTGTCCATTGTTCACAGGGAAAAACAAAGTGCTTGAAACAACGAGAAACTTTTAAGCATACTTTATGTTATCTTGTTCTTTAACTTTGACATTATAGTGTTATTGGAAATACTGTGTACAGAGTGAAAGTCTTTTTATTTGAAAAAATTAAAACTAGTGCATGTTTCGCTGTCCTTGGTTACTATAAATCATTTACTAGTAGTGCCCTTGGTCTTCCGCAGTCTCTCCACTACATGAAATCGGCAGGAATGGCCAGCAAGCGTTTGGGAACAGAGAGGTACCTCAGTTGCTATACCATCTCCAGCATCACGTGAGAGAAAAGAGCTAGTCACTACTTTCCATCATCCATCAGTTTACTGAACCTACCCTGTAAGGACTGTGTCAGGTACTGTGAATAAAAGAGTTAATGATGTGCAAAAATAAAAATGATGAAGCAATTATTTTTCCTTTAGGTTCCATATAGTTCTGTGGAGTTAGTTTTGCTTTTGGCCTCTGAAAGTTCTCATTTATTTATCTCAAATGTTTACAAAGTGCTAACATAGGATTCAGAAACAACTGGGCCAGTAAACTATTTTCCTTATTCTTTAGTGCAAAACGGAGCAAAAAACCCCAAAAAACAAAACAAACCAAAAAAACCCTTTCATCCCTCCTGCACACAAATTTAATTATATTATAATCAAGATAACAATCTGATTAATAAAGTTTCTTCCAGTTCTAATTGCCTTGATGCCGTCATTTGAGCCACTGCACTGACTTGAAGCAAGACATCTTTTTTGTTTAGCTGCATGATTCAATAAATTCCATTGATGAATTAAGGCAGTTTGAGTTTGATTTTCTAATAGTGTATGTGTGTGTAAGTCAGGATGCTGGCAGGACACAAATGGCACACTTAAACCAGATAATTGAGGAGAGTTTAATGAAGGACCAATTACACAGGTGTGAGTGGGGTTAAGGGAAACCAACAAGAACTAGCAATAGCAGGAAACCTTTTCATCCCCCAGCCTGAAATGACAAGAGGAGGGGCTGGTTTCCCACAATCTGGAACTTAGGAAGGGCCATAGCTGTTGTTTCTAGAGAGGGCTGCCTGACAGGAGCTGTGGGCTTTATGAGGAAAGCAGACTTGCAGGAAAGTAACCCAAGGAATAAATAAACACTCTAACTTATCTTTCCTCCCACTCCCAATGGAGAACATTCGTCATCCTGTGACTCTAACATATTTTTTACAAAGTACTTTGGGATGTTAGAGACAGTGCATAAATAAAAGAATGATCATTATGATCATTGTTACATATAATTCAGTTCCATTTGTTGAGCATTCATTGTTGTGGGTACTTTGAAATAGTGCAAGAAATTTAGATTCCATAGTTGCTTTCAAGGGGCTAATACCCAAAAGAGTGAGATGAGATATTACAAATGAAAAACAAAATTAAGGAGCTAAAATATATGTACAAATTCAGGCTTTAGGGATGAACCAATCTGTATCCAGCTCATAGGTATTGGGCACAGGAGCCAAAGGAATCAATGAAACTGAGTGACTCCCAGGAGTTTGAATCTTATTAGAAGAGACATGCTCTTCCTTTCTATCCTGTGATTTGAGAATATTAGGTCTTGACTGCTAGAGGCATTTCACTATCAGGAGAAGAGGCCCTGGAACTGCTCAGAAGCCACTTCTATAGAACTTAACATTGGAGTCAAAGGAAGGCAGCACAAAGAGAAACTGGATCCTCGCTGACATCATTTGAACTGCTGGATAAGCCTCGCCTGAAGCCGAACATTTAGACTTTTTAGTTACAAGATCCAACAAGCTCCTTTTTATAGTTTAAGCCAGTATGAATTGGGTTTTCTGTCATTTGCATCATAGAATATCCTAATTGATACACCACCCTAAAACAAGATAATTGAAAAATTATTTCAAATTAAAGATTTCAAACATGAAAAGTGAGTCTTCACAAGAATACTTGCATTTTATTGTTATTCTTCATCCTAAATTTTAAAAGAAAGACCTGATTTATGAATTAACAAGTGTTTTAGGGATAGTAATTATAAGAAGTAACCTAAACAGACCATTCACTTTGGAAAGTTCTCTATGAGGGAAGCAATGCTTAGAATCTATTCCGTACATGATTTACCTAAAGAGTTGGTGAGTGTAGACAAAGGCTGGTGAGTGATGATTTTTTTTATGCCTCTAGCATGGCAGCAGTCATCAGGCCTGGAATAAAGACTTTTTTTCATATTCTCCCAGGACTAAAAATGTTGCCTCTTATAGATTTATTCTTTGGAATTGTTGATATCTTTCTTATATACAGCCTATACAACCAGATTTGGGATGGTTCATTCTGATTCCTGTGCTGTGAATATTTATTTGTTTACTCAATTAAATGAGTGGTTTTAGTGGTAGCCACTGGTGTTAAAGCACGAAGAGCCAAGATGATAATTTAGGAAAAGCTGAGTGTTAAAGGATTCTAAACCAACTATTAGACTACAATAATAACTCCAATCTCATTAACACAATGAACCACCTGATCATCATCTAATTCATAAAAAAAAACCTAACATGGACCAAATTTCTTTCTGCAGCTTGGAATGAAGCTGTTTCTATTTATTCAGTGTCTGGGGACCTAAATGTATGAAAAAGGTGTTGCCTTAGTAGAGGTCTGCAACTGAAGTTTTGAAAATGTCAGGGAACTGTTTCCCACTATTTATTAAATTATACAAATGCTTTTCATAAACACTTATCATACCTGTTTTGAAAGTAAAAAAAAAAAATAACTGCAGCAGAGTTCTGTTATCAAGGCAAAACACAGCACTGCATTTGACATAACTCCAACAAATATTGTGCTTCCTTCACAAAACTGGTTGGGTTAGTCTCACAAATGTCAAGAAACAAGTTGAGCGTTCAACAAATTATCTACCTGTCCCATATAGAAAGCACTGAAATTTCTAGCTTCCACAGGACATTATGCAGTGTTCAAAGAGCAGTTGAAAGGCATTTCTAGTCTGTGATTCAAGGCAGTTCGTGGCCCAGCCTATTAGGAGAGAAACATCCTTTTTGAAGTGAAATTAGCTCTTCTCTATATAGGAGTGTAACTGTGAAAAAAAAAGTTCAGAAATTTGGCTATTTCCCCTACCCCAAAAAGACAGAGGGGCATCTGAGATTGCTGACTAATGTTTTAGACATCAAAGAACCCAAGAATGTTGAGAGAAGACTAACAGAAAATGGGCCTATGAAGGTGTTATAAACTGTGTTCCTCCAAAATTATGTTGAAATCCTAACCCCCAATGTGATGGTATGAGGAGGTAGGGCCTTTGAGAGGTCATGAGGTCATGAAGGTAGAGCCCTCAAGAATGGGATTAATGCCCTTCTAAGAAGGGTCATAAGAGTTTGCTCCAGCTTTCTGAGTTCTACCATGTGAGGATACAATGAGAAGTCAGCAGTCTGCAACCTGGAAGAGGACTCTTACCAGAACCTGACCGTGCTGGCACCCTGATCTTGGATTTCCAGCTTCCAGAACTGTGAGAAATACACTTCTGTTGCTTATAAGCCACCCAGTCTATAGTATTTTATTATAGCAGCCTGAACTAGGAAAAAAGGTGATAAATTTGTTTACAGTAACAAGGTATTTGAGATCCTTGCTTTTGGTTTTGTTTCTTTTTTAATTTATGTATGTATTTATTTATTTTTGGCCGCATTGGGTCTTTGCTGCTGCGTGCGGGCTTTCTCTAGTTGCAGCGAGCGGAGTCTACTCTTGGTTGTGGTGCACGGTCTTCTCATTGCGGTGGCTTTTTTTTTTTAACATCTTTATTGGAGTATAATTGCTTTACAATGTTGTGTTTCTGCTGTATAACAAACTGAATCAGCTTTATGTATACATATATCCCCATATCCCCTCTCTCTTGCGTCTCCCTCCCACCCTCCTTATCCCAGCCCTCTAGGTGGTCACAAAGCACCCAGCTGATCTCCCTGTGCTATGCGGCTGCTTCCCACTAGCTATCTATTTTACATTTGGTAGTATATATAAGTACATGCCACTCTCTCACTTCGTCCCAGCTTACCCTTCCCCATGTTCTCAAGTCCATTTTCTACGTCTGCATCTTTATTCCTGTCCTGCCCCTAGGTTCATGAGAACCATTTTTTCTTTTTCTCTTTTTTTTTTAGATTCCATATATATGTGTTAGCATACGGTATTTTTCTCTTTCTGACTTCACTCTATATGACAGACTTTAGGTCCATGCAGTGGACCTTCTCTTGTTGCAGAGCATGGGCTCTAGGCGTGCGGGCTTCAGCTGTGGTATGCAGGCTCAGTAGTTGTGGCTCACGGGCTCTAGAGCACAGGCTCAGTAGTTGTGGTGCACAGGCTTAGTTGTTCTGCAACATGTGGGATCTTCCCGGACCAGGGCTCGAACCCGTGTCCCCTGCATTGGCAGGCAGATTCTTAACCACTGTGCCACCAGGGAAGTCCCTGCTTTTGTTTTATTTGATGAGAATAACTTCTTAGCAAAATGAAAGAGATAATAATCTAATTCAATTAAACAATCAGTAAACTTTTTGTCACTCTAACTAGCAAAATAAAATCCACCCCTTAGGGAATGAGCCATTCCTTAGGGAATGAGGGTGGTAGTGGTGAAATACATTAGAAGTTTAGTTTAAAAAATATATGTGCACAACCTAAAAGCATTCTGATTTTTTTCAAAATAGCACCCAATGATGTTCAAGTGAACTCTTACCTTTCCTGGGGAGATTAACTTTTCACAGCTGTACAATGACATCTCAGGATTCTTAGCAGATACATCGAAGACCTTGGACCTCATGTTGTTGGCTTATGTGAAGACACATTCACTTGGCAGAGGACAGGCTGGAGAAGTACAGTAAATTGACTACAACTCTCTATAAAACAGACCTTTCATATATTTGTAATGAGATGACAATGTATATATTTACCATAATGAGGAATAGCATTTGCTTGAAGTATATTCTTAGTATTGGGCAGAACAAAATATTCCATAAATTAAAAATAACATATGTATTTTTGCATATTCTATTTTATTAAAAAATATTGGAATCCATACATATTGTATAAGATAACTCTTTAGTAAACAGATTTTTAAAAAACTTTTATTGTGGAAAAGTTCAAACATATACAAAAAAAACGGTGAAGAGTACCATGGACCTTATATACTCATATATACTCACAACCCAGCTTCAACAAGTATCGACTCATGGCCAAACTTGTTTCACTATACTCCCACTGACTTACCAAACCCTCATTTCTCAATGGATTTTTTGAAGCAAATTCATGTCATGATATTGTTGGGAGAGAGACTCTTCTTTGGGCCTCTTAAGTTCCTACAGATCTTACTGGATGGACCAAGATGCCAAGGCCCTGACTGCTTTCACCAGGCCCATTGCTCAAGGTTGATTGTGTACTCAGTAACTTTAAGAAATGAGGTAACATCTCCTCCCCACCCCTCCACCCTCCACTCCCACCCCTGGACAAACAGTAGGTCTTTCTTGCTCTTACTGTTTGCTGTAAGACTAGTGAGTTCCCCAAACTCAGTGTTCCACAGCTGTGAAGCAACCCACTGCACGTGCAGCCATCCATCTGTGTTACCCCGGTGGCACCGAAAGCAAGGGGACCCAAAACAAATATGCTAATGTTTGTGCTGCTTATTGTGTCATGAGTAATAAAGTTCTTTGTCTCTGACCCAAGGGTCTTGAGTATTCTGCCAGGCTCCATAAAATAATAAGTGGATAATTTATTAGATTGTAGGTCAAGTAAAATCGAATCCCAGATCCAATATATATCATTTTATCTGTACATATTTCAGTATACATCTCTAAGAGATAAGAACTCAAAAAAAAAAAAAACAACTTAGGTAAGATGACTAAGTTCTAGAGATCTGCTACACGACATTGTGCCTTAACAATATTGTATTGTGCACATAAATATTTGTTAAGAGGAAAGATTTCATGTTAAATGTTCTTACCACAATAAAAATGTCACTATTATTGCATCTAAAAAACAGACAATAATTCTTTAATAGAAGTGAATATCATCAATCATGTTCAAATTTCCCCAATTATTTCTCTTTTTTTTAAACAATATATTCAATAGGCATCCAAATAATTGTATTGGTGATATGAACCTTTAAAAAATTTATTGTGGTAAAATATATATAACATAAAAGTTGTGATTTTAACCAATTTAAAGTGTACGGTTCAGTGGCAATAACAACATTCACAATGTAGCACCACCATCATCACCACCTGTTCCTAAAACTTTTACATCTGGGTGATTTAAATCTTTAGTATCTTTTAATCTATTGGTTTCCCTTTTCCCTTTCTCTGTTTCTCCTTGCAATTTATTTGTTGAAGAAAATCAAGTCATTTCTACTACACAGTTTCCCCCAGTTTGGATTTTGCTATATTCATAACAGTTTCATAAGCTTCCATGAGGAGGCATATAATGTCTGGTTGTTTCTCTTTTTGTGGTGTTAATAGTCATTTATGATCACTGTTTAGGTCCATTAGTTTTTAGGGGTGCAAAGTGGTGATATCTGAATTCTATTATTGCTTTTTTTTTTTTTTTTGCGGTATGCAGGCCTCTCACTGTTGTGGCCTCTCCCGTTGCAGACACAGGCTCTGGACGCGCAGGCTCAGCGGCCACGTCTCACGGGCCCAGCTGCTCCGTGGCATGTGGGATCTTCCTGGACCGGGGCACGAACCCGTGTCCCCTGCATCGGCAGGCAGACTCTCAACCACTGCGCCACCAGGGAAGCCCCTATTATTGCTTTTTAATAGCTGTTTAATACTTCCATAGAGGAACAGTTACATAGTACTCCATTATATGGATGTTTATTCCCCTTGTCTAAACAGAATGTTTCATAAGTCAGAAGAGCCTATTTAGCAAACACATTTTTATTGTGATTGTTTTTCAAACATGAGAGAGAATTTTGTTGTTGTTTTTGCTGTTCTTTATTTTATTCTCCCAAAGGGTACACAGTACAATCAAGACTAAAGTTGAATTTGCAGAAGAGTTAAAAACTATTTCTATATGATAATATGAGTAAAGTTTTCACCCTTCAAAATAATTTTGATTACTAAAGTGGGTCTTTTGTTAAAAGGTACCCTAGAGTCATGAATCTGGAAAGAATAATCTTAGTGTGGACAAGCAACTTCAGTCTCCTTTCCTTCCAAAGAAGAGTGCTTAGAGCTGAGGAGAGCCTCCTTTACGTGGTTCTCTTTTTATGCATGGTTCTAAAATTAAGCACAGTGCTTTTTTTGGTGATAGTACATGCCAGGATGACATAAGGACATTTTCCTTAGAGTAACATTGAGACACATCTGTTCAAGTGAATCAGTTACCAACTCAATTGACTCATTTAGCAGGGAAAAGAAATTCAAAAGCCATCATATGGATGGAATCCCATGATCCCTTTGCCACTAAAAGTATTAATTAAGCTTTCTTTTTATCCCATACCATAACACCTGTTAACTCACGTTTGGCACCTTGTGAAACTTTTATATGCTGGGAATAACAGCAGGTGAAAGGTTATGTGACAAAATAGTTCTTAAAATTTTGAACTTTGAAAGTATTATTTCTCTCTCTGAGCCTTTCTCTCTCTTTCTCTCTCTATCCCCTCAAAGTTACCAATACTCCCTCTTTGGTCCACAAGCATGTTTGATAGTATAATATAATTTTATGTCAGGAAAAAACCCTGTTGTTTTCACATTAAAAATGAAAGAAAGCAAAGATCAACTAAATCAACATGGCTTGTGGGGAAATGACTTCAAAAGCCCATCTTCCAAATCAAAAAGTGAACATGGGAAGCACGCTATCTATGTTTATCAATGCAATTTGTTTGTTTGTTTTAGGAATCTATTGCTACAAAACAAATTATTCCATTAGTGGCTGGAAACAACACATACTTATTATCACAGTTTCTGTGGGTCAGGAACCCAGGAGCGGCTTAGCTGGGGGCCTCTGGCTCAGGGTCAGCCACAGGGCTGCCGTCAAGCTGTGGGCAGGAGCTGGATAGTCATCTCAAGGCTTGACCTGGGGAAGAGTCACGTGGCTATTGGCAGGCCTCAGAAGATCTATTGGCGAGTTCAGTCACACCGTCCTCTCCACAGGTCCGCCTGGAGACAGAAAAGCTGGCTTCCTCCAGAGCGAGCAATCCAAAGAGAATGAGAGAGAGGACCTGTGACAGAAGCCACAGAAGTGACACCCCGTCATGTCTTCCATCTTCTATCCCTTAGAGTCATAACTGCAGCCCACCCCAAAGGGGAGGGGAATCACACAAGGTATCAACATCAGGAAGCAGGGGTAACTGGCATCCATCTTAGAAGCTGCCTACCACAGTTTATATTTTTATTTTATTTTTTCTATTTTTTGGCTGCGCCCCCATGGCGTGGGGGATCTTAGTTCCCTGACCAGGGATTGAACCCGTGCCCCCTGCAGTGGAAGCTCAGAGTCTTAATCACTGAACCACCAGGGAAGTCCCAGTTTGTTTATTTTAAATATAAATTTTAAAAACAGAAAATACGTTCTCATAGTTAAAAATTTTAAATGTACCAGAGGATATATAGTCAGAAGTCTCCCTCACACCGCTGTCACCCAATACCCTCCTTGAGCAAACGCTTATCAGCTCCCTGCAGATCCTTTCACAGTCTTTCTGTTCAATGTGAAGTTGAAAGAGTGGGATTCCACAGGGCACGCGCGGAAGCTGCCGTCATCGTCTCCCCTCGATCTTGCCAGTTCAGTACTGCTTTGAGGAGGTAACTCTTCCCCACCTCTTGGGTGAAATAGGAGGTGGTCACTATGCCCTTTCCTCTCCGTCTCAGGTCATAAGGAGTCCTCCAGTTGTTTTTAGTCATAACATGGTTTCATATCAGAAGGAAAAAGCTGAGTAACAGTCGAACTCTGAACTTTAAGGTTCGAGCTTCTGCCCGTTCCTTTCTCCAGCTTCCTTCAGGCTGAAAGCCTGCCATGAGAAAAGCTGGGGCCTTGTGCTCAGCTCCTCTATTTCTCTATTTTGTACTTCACTTTCTCTTCTTCCTCCTTCTGGCTCCACTGGGTTGCCTCTGTCTCTCTCTGGGCTGGGGGATGGGAAGCCAGTGAAGACAGTTAGGAGCTCTGTTTTTCAGTGTCAGTTTTTCTGGCTTCTGCACAGATATCCTCGTGGAAACATCCAACTATAGCTTTCTTTTTTTTTTTTTGAAAATCAGAAATAGACCTCTTTAATGAAGGTCGTCAAAGGGTACAAACTTCCAGCTGTAAGTACTAGGGATGCAATGTACCACATGATAAATTGAATGAACATGCTGTACCTTATATATGAAAGCTGTTAAGTAAATCCTAAGAGTTCTCATCACAAGGAAAAACTTTATTTCTTTCATTTTGTATCTATAAGAGATGACGGATATTCACTAAACTTATTGTGATAGCTATTTCATGATGTATTTAAGTCATATCATTATGTGGTACACCTGAAACTTATGCAGTGCTGTTATGTCAATAGTATCTCAATAAAACTGAAGGGAAAAAAAAGAAATACACCTCTTTATATATACAAATTTGATGTTTGCAAATTCTATCCTTCATCTAGTATTTGCTTCCAAGGATACGCCTCCAGCCACTTTGTGATGTGGTCACCTCAGGAAGCCTGGGCAAGGCCTCCTCCCCGAGAGCTCAGGAGGGTGGGCTTTCTCTCCCTCTGATCCGCCATCTGGTCCTGGGAAACCCCCACACACCCTTCAGAATATGCCAGACTTTTCAGAAAACCGATTAAGACTGTTCTTGCTCTGTGAGGGTTTTAATTTCTCATAGTATCTCGCTCATTTCTTTTAGGAATGATCATATCCTGGGAACAAGGAACGTCCAGTGTATCACTCCAGGAATTAAAATCCAAAAGAGGGTTTGTATCTGTTGGTTGATTGAATGCTTGTTTCGTGTGGGTAGGAAGTGAAAGACTTTTCTTGTAGAATATACTTTCCATATGCTGAGATACCTTAGAAGACAAAATATAGTAATTACATCTATGAATTCTTTCAATAACACAGCATATTCTGCTAAGCCACAGGTGGCAGGGAGGCTGAGGTAATTTCAGGCATGGGACATCTAGAAGGACACAATTCTAGGATGTGGTGGGCTTTTTCTTTTAGAATCATAGTGTTTACATTGTAAAACTGGATATCAAGGTGGTAGGAGCTTACCAGTTCCTGTTCTTGGTTCTGCTGTGGTTGATCTGCACACACAATTATTTTACTCTGAGTTCACTCTAGCTCCTCCTTTCCCAATGGTCCCACAAGGGTTCCCAGACACCCTACTTCACCTTCACCAACACCCAGCCCGTCCTTCTCCAGGTGAGGCTGGAATTCTTTAGAACCTCAGCACACAACAGGCCTTCAGTGGGCTTAGTGTTGAGACATAAATAAGGCTGCGCTGGCACTTGGTGCCCTAGTACTAACCAGCGGGCTCCTACACAAACCTGATGCCGAGTGGGACCCAGGAGATTTCTATATTGTTCACATTGTTACAGCTCAAACCCCCAGCTCCCTCCATTCTAATATCTTTCTCAAATTCCAGTAACTTTTTCTTCTCCTACCCCTTTCCTTGTGTGCTCAGTCCCGGTCTACCTTCTACGTTTCTGTTCTGGAGGGTAGGTTTCCTTCTTCTTAGCAGTTCTTGCTGTAATGGAATTTTGCCCTTGAGTCCCATTTTGGAGATTGAGATTTTGTTATCCACCGATTCCTGCCTGCTCACCTTCTGGGACGTTCAGATGTTACTCAGAACCTTCCAATTTTCCTGCTTCAATGGGACCCCTGGAAATTCCCAATCCCAAGGACTCTACAACTGTTCTGCTTGGTTGAACATCTGGCATCAGCTGGACCTTCCCCCTCCACCTCCCCCCCACCCCCAGCTTCTGTGGGAGTCCTGTCCTGTTATACTGGTAGATGGGGCCTGGGATATAATAGCTCAGCTGGGCTGCATGGAAGCACTTATATATATCAGATAGGAGCATAAGAATGCTAGCAGCAAGTGAGGAGAAGATTAAGAATGACTTGGGGTTGGCCACATTGTAAGGACAAAGCAGAACAAAAAGTGCAACGAAAGTGACAGACCAAAGCCAAAGAAAATTAGATTTGAGAAAACACTGCAGTGGTACTGTAAGTACTCCAAGAGGTATAGTTTCCTCACGAAAGAAAAATCAATCATTTAAAAGTGAATATTATATTGTACCAATGTTAATTTCTTAGTTTTGACAAATGTGCCCTGTCATGTATTATGTTAACATTAGGAAAAGCAGGTGAATTCTCTGTACTATCTTGGCAACTTTTCTGTATCTAAAGTTATTCCAAAATAAGAAGTTGAAAAAAAGAACATCAATGGAAACACTGAAGTATTTGCATTAGAAATAAAGAACTTCTTTACCCTGAAAAGTTTAGGAAAAATAAAAAGGTTTTTGAAGAACATTCTGGAAACTCAGCTCCTGGTCTAAGCATGTATTGTGAATAAGTAAAGTACTGTATAAATTCTGAAAGAATTAGTTGAGGCTTCTTGGTTTGACTTTTAGGAAACTCACTCTTTCAACAAATAACTATTGACCTATTACGGGTTTTGCACGTTCTAAGGTTGTATCTGTCAACAAAACAGATAAAGATCTCTGCTCTAATGGAGCTTACATTCTAGCGGGGGCAGAGGGAAATCAAAAATAAATATAACAAATAAATAAATTATATTGTGTGACTGAACGTGATGGGTGCTATGGGGAAAAAGAGAAGACCAGAAAAAGGGATAGCAGTAGTATGTATGGGGGCTGGGCCGTGTGCAATTTTAAGTAAGGTGAACCAATCAAACCTCACTGAGATGGTTTGGTGGAGCAAAGATGAAGGAGATGAGGGAACAAAGCATGAGGATGTTGGGGGAAGAGCATCACAGGCAGAGGGGGGAACAGTGTAAAGGTGGAACCTGTCTAGATGTTCGAACAGCATTCAGAGGTGAGTTGACAAAAGCAGTAACTGGCAGGGAGAGACTTAGAAGATGAGGTCAGGAAGGCAAGGGTGGTGATGGGTGGAGAGGACTGCAAATAATATAGGACTTTGACTTGGACTTTGAAAGAAATGGGGAGCTATTGCAGACATTTGAGCAGAAGAGTGACATGATCTGTCTCATGTATTAGAAGAATCATTCTTTACTGCTGTGTGAATACGCTCTGGGTGGGCAAGGGCAGAGCAGGGAGAAGAGTTAGAAGGCTAACGCAGTAATCCAACGAGAGAAGACAGTGCCTTAGACCAGAATGAAGCAGTGGAGGTAGTGATGAGAAGTGGTGCTCTGGAGCTGGCTTGTTCCAGCTCTTGAGACCAATTGTTATAATTTTAGGAAATTTGCAAGCTAATTGCTAAAAATGCCATTATTAAAAATTAAATTATATAAAGTTACAATTAGATATATTATATTGCAAACTAAAGTATTAAATACCCCAAACCTATCACTTAATTATTTTTACCTACTTATTTTACTATAATTGTTTATTATTATCTCTGCTCTTGAGGTTGTTTACACTTGTGCTATCCACATGGTGAAGATAGTCTGAAATGGGGAGCTGCTGTGCACCTCTTCCCAATTCTGTATTCAGTGACGCTGCATGTGGAGTTTGTCAGCCATGGTGGGAGGATTGACACCACAGAAATTGACAAATGCTACGAATTGGGGTTCATTTTTAAAGACAGCAGGTTGTTAAACATTGGCCAGCACACCACTGCTTTGTGCCTTCCCAACCAAAACTAGGAACGTGTACCAATGCCCCGTCCAAAGTTTTCAGGTTCCCTTTTTTTTTTTTTTGCAGTACACGGGCCTCTCACTGTTGTGGCCTCTCCCGTTGCGGAGCACAGGCTCCGGACGCGCAGGCTCAGCGGCCATGGCTCACGGGCCCAGCTGCTCCGCGGCATGTGGGATCTTCCCAGACCAGGGCACGAACCTGTGTCCCCTGCATCGGCAGGCGGACTCTCAACCACTGCACCACCAGGGAAGCCCTCAGGTTCCCTCACTTTTATCATGTCCCCAACAACAGAGGGAAAAAGCTTAATAAAGAGGTATTGTTAATGTTACAACAAGATAAAGGTAACGTATTTCTCTTAAGCTTCATACCATTAACACATGTTTAGTTACGAAAAATCACACTACCTGCGATTGGATCTTTAGTGCCGGCCCCAGCTTTAAGCCCATAGTGCTTCGAAGATGCCCCTCTGTGAGTAATGGCAAAGTTTCTCCATCAATTGCATGATCTTTAAACACCTTATTAAACACAAAAGATGTCAGCTTTGTTTAAATGTCTTTTTTTAAGACCTAACCTATTCTCATGAAAGCAACTTGAGCGACCTTTCTGAAACACAAAGCTAAGCACGCCACTCCTCCTTAAAACCCAGACCGTTTCCGGGATGAAGTCACAATCCTTCAAGTCTCAGTGGCCTGATCCCTTCTCCCTCTTCAGTCCCCTATCCTGCCATCCTCACCTTTCCCACCTTGGCCCTGGCCTCTGGCCACTAAAAATTATTCTCAAACCCCAACCATGTTAAGTTCTCTCTGGCTTCTGGTCCTCACCTGGAAATTCCTCCTTTGCCTCCCTCTCACCTTGTTGCCCCTCAGGTGGTAAACTCCTCACCGTCAGGTCTCACTTTCGATGCCTCTTCCTCTAGGAAACCGTAAGGCCCTCCTGTGTGTTCCTACCATGCCCCGTAGCTGCCCTCTCCAGCATGGTCACGCTGATGTGGAATCCCTTACGGTGCCCCTCTTCTGGACTACAAGCTCCGTGAGAAGAGGAACCATATTTGTCCCATTTCCACTGTGTGTTCCGTGCCTCGGAGGGCATGCCTCAGGACCAGCAGAAAATTGGATTCTTCTTGGGAAACTTCTGTACCAGGAACTTTGTGTTCTAACAGATTTTAGTTATTTACAAACTATATTTATTAAGTAATTATTTCTTTTCCTATTTTAACTGATCAAATTGTAGAATGGCTAATAGAAGTAACTTAATTTGGGCCAAAGCAAAAAAGTGGACAGTTTGGGTTAGTCTCTGTAGCCTTATTTTGGGGAAATGTATGATATTTCTTAGGTTGTCTGTTGTTTTGAAATATTTTGAATAACTTAAGCATACCTTCTACCACCTTTGAGAATTCCTAGGGCCCCAGGTACCCTTGGCCGAAAATCATATGGCCCAATAGCCTCAATGTAGAGTAATTATGATGGAAAGAGCTAGATTTGGAGTCACACACACATTTTTTTAAGCAGTCCTCTAGCCACCTTGAAGTTCAGCTTTACTCAGCTGCAAAATAGAGCTAATATCTCCTTTGCAGAAGTATGGTGTCGATTAAATTTAAAAGACAATCTAAATAATTTACTTAGCACTGTGCCTGGCACATAGTCTGTTGCCAATAAAGAGTAGGCGCTATTATTATGATTTTTTGTAAATGAGAGAACCAGCACAGAAAAGGTTAAGTGAGTTGCCCAAAAATCATAGCTTGCCTGTTAGAGAACCTGTAAAATAATGTATAGTTCATGATTCTGATCCAGAATTTTCCCTGCTTAACCCCACTGCCAATCAGCAAAAGGAGTGCTGATAAAAATAGTCACCTATATTTATGGTAGAAAATTTACCTAATTTCTCCTTCCTTTGTAGGGATTCCATTGAGCAGTGAAGGGACCATGAGAGATCATCCAAAGAAGGAGAAATCACAGAGATAAATTTTCACACAGAGGTAGGCTGGCACCCAGGGCCTGAAATGCATGAGAGCCTAACCTTCAGTCCTGGTGGGTGGACCCTGGGCCTGAGGCAAGGATGCAGAACATGCCTCTGTCATTCAGAAGATACCCTCACTTCATTCTCATGAGAGCAGCTTGGGCCAAGTGCATGGTATAAATATGCATGTATTTTTAATAATTTCATTTATTTTTAGAGAGAATACTTTCACTGCTGACTTATTTGAACTAGACATTGACTTTGAACAAAAAAAATGTGTTACAGGGTATCCTGGATGTCCCTAAATGGCTGAACCACCCATCCTCTCTTCATAGCTATTTAAGATTTCATTTGCAAGGGGCTTTGGATTTTCACTGCGGTTATTTTTTCCTGAATTTCCTTTTTCAACCTGCAGAAGGTGGGTGGTTGGAGGTTGCTGCACCTAAGGCAGAGGTGAGGAAGAAGAGGACAGAGAAGGGGACAGGGGGTGTGGCCCTGAGTAGTCCCAGGGGCTGTGAGTAAAAGCGGATGGCACATTGCAGACAAGGGTTCCTGTGAGAGCTGTGCACAAGCAGTGCTACTTCAGAGTCTGTTGCGCTCAGACGGCACCCAGCTGCATCCAGGGGGGTGCTCCCCATTTCTGTACAGAACACTGTCACCGAACACAGCCTGGTCATGCCCAGCAGAGTGTGGCATCCTTGCTGTTGAGGTCACCAGCAATTGCTAAGAGGGGAACTGACTTTAGTGAGGAAACAAGAGCAGGACTTGATCCTAAACACATTTGAGAAACACTTAGAAATAACTGTACCACTTCTTGGGGTGGGGAAGGAAGCACCAACATCCTGTTGGTAAGAGGTAATGAGTCAGCAAAGTTTGGGGTCTTCGTGTTTATGTGACGTCTTTATACCCATAAGGGGACATCTGGGATTATAAAGTATGAAATACATGTAACATTATTTATTACAAGAGTGGTTATTATAAACTGCATTTTTATGACTGTGAATCACTGACTGATTAAAAATAGTGAGTTCAAACAGATTCAATCCATCAGAAGTCAGTAATCAAATGTTCGTTATACATGGGGTTGCTTCTTTCTGGTTATCAGAATTTGGTAACTTCATTGTACCACTTGAAAAGCGGCATAGATACATTTAAAAAGTGACTTACCCACGGTTAATGACTAGTAATAAAATAATAAGGTTATACTCATTGAATAGGCAAAAATAGAACAAATTTTTTTAGCAGGTATGCAAAAAGACAAAGTAGGTGACTTGAAGAATACAACCTGCCTCATAAGTAACTTGAGATTCTGCTTTCTCTAGAAGCCTCTGAGGCAATGATGAAATTAGAATCTACTGAGTGCCAGGCACTCATTTATGCTTACAACAATCCTTTGAAAATGTATTATACTATTATCCTCATTTTACAGATGAAAAAAACCGAGACACCGAGGAGGGAGGCAATTTGTCTTAGGTCACATGTCCAGAAAGTGGAAAAGCCAGGATTTGAACTTGTACTTTCTGGTTTCATAAGCCATACTCTTAATCACTACTCTATATGACTTTTCCATTGGTCCAATAAAAAGAAAAAAGGAAGAAAAAGAGAAAGGGAAAGGAAGGAAGGGAGGAAGGGAGGGAGGGAGGGAGGGAGGGCGGAAGGAAGGAAAATTTTTAAAAAATTAACAGCATTACACTGAAGAAAATATCACAAAATGAGATCTGAAAAAAGTTATCTCTAACATCAGTTACTTATGATGTAGTTAAATCATAATGTCCTTTTCTTGCTTTGTTTTACTTTAAAATATAAACCAAAGATAGTTATACCAGATTTAGTAGGCACATTGTTGCTTGGAATTGTGTTATTAAATCGCTTGAAAAAGTAAATTATATGCATGAAAATGTAGCACTGACATAAACTTCAAAAACTTGGCAACCCACCATTTTTATCTCCAATTTTCCCATATAAGTGAGGCTAGTTTTACTTTTCAAGTGTCCTGATAGTTCATTATAATTTAAAAAATAGTATTTATCTACCAGATTAAATTATGTGTGTAGGCGTTTTTATATATTGCCCCAGAATAAAAACGGAATTTTAAAATAGTTAATTTCCAACTTTTCAGATGTATTTCCTTCTTGTCCTTTTTAGAATAAAGTATATATTTCTGTTATGTATGATAAGTAGCCTAAAACTTCTGATACAGAAGTACATGCCTCCAAATGTTTGCTAAATGGATGAGCAGGGAATACAGTAGACACCGCTCCTTCTTCTTGGATGTTTGGCCTCTGAACCTCCTAATTCTGGGAGAATTCCACATCTCAGGAGCCTTAATGGGACAGAAACTAAAGCCAGACACTGGCTTTCCCAGCCTCCCCTGAGGCTGGGGTGGGCACATGACCCAAGCTCCACCAATCAGAGGCTTCTGTTCCAGGGGAGCCAATGACATACAAAGGGAGAGATTATTAGGAATGCTCTCTGGGGTCAAAATCAAGTTCAACAGAGCTCATTATGAAGGAAGTATATTTCAAAGTGTCTAACTTTTAAGAAAATACTTAAATGTTGCATCACCTGAGCATAGTCTGAACAACCTGGAAGGCCACTAATGAAGTTGTACACGTCATTCACGGTCCATTTCTGAATATCTTCATCCAAAGATAGATTTTCCTTGATTGTAAGAAGCACATGTGTTCCTTTAAAACAGAAAGAAAATTATTTTGTGGGAAAAGGGAAAAGGGGGAAGCTAAGAGTACAGTTTCATGTATAGTTACATTCATTTCCTCATGTTCTATTACCACAGAGCAGTCCCTTTACATAGATCTACACATAACCCCCTTAAAAGATAGAGTTACTGAGAGATGATTTCTAAAAAAGCTTAGCTACCTCCTTTCTTTTCTTCCTCTAAAGGATCTTTAATGACAACCTTATCATAAATAAAAACAAAGTTCCAGCTTCTCTCAGATTCCAATAGAAATACCCTGTGGATTTCATTCTCCAGATTAATACTACCATGTTCTATGATGTTACATGATTTATCATGCTCTCTAAGCCATGTGAGAATTTAGCTACATCTTCATCAAAATGGCAAATTAATATTTTGTCAGGGAAGCAGTCGGTATGGTGGCTAGATTACACATATCCAAATCCCTGTGTTTTAAAATATTTTTATCTAAAGAAGTTCCAGTTTTAAACTATTTTTTATCTAAAGAAGTTCTTGAATACTATTCAGTGTGTCTTTTTGGGGCAGGGGGTAGTGTGTTAATACTCTTAGGTTAGAGAGTATCATAGCAGTAGTGAGCACTGAAAGAGCTTCTGTTTGTTTATTTTTTCTACACTTAAATACAGGGGAGATTGAATTCATACTTTTAAGCAAGAAGCCCCTCTGTTTTGTGTTGAAGAGATTAGATTAAATCAAAAATTAAATTAAAATGTTAATTAAAAATTCTGGTAGGCTTTCCCATCCTTCTCATATTTACCTTCCTAGCCTTTGCTGAAATTCTCTATATAGCAAATATATAAACACAGATACATTGCACTGTTATGGCTGACTGGAACTAATGTAATAAATTTTTCAAGAGGAGGTAATTCTAAGTAGGATCAAGAAGAAGGAGGATAAAAAGAAACACAGTGGTTACAGCTCACCATGTAATAACTCCAGGGACTTGATGACCTGCGGTTCATGAGGATTAGCCCCTGGACTCCTACCTGGCAGAGACGGTCGAGGAACTGGCGGGTAAACCTCATTCTTTTCACCACAGGCTGCCAAAACCTGCTCTGAAGCCTTCTCCTTCCCATTGTCCCAGGCCTTTTCTTCCAGGGGAGTGCCATGAGCTCCCCAGGGTTTTCCATGGCCGCGCTCCAGCTCTCCAAAGGTGTGGGCAAGAGCTGTAGATGGATTTTCTTCAGTTTCACCCAACTTGTGATTGTTGAGAGTGTCTGTTTCTGGGTCTTTTGCATACTCATTCTCTTCACAGGGAATTGCACGGGTTTGGCCTAGGGGCTTTTCTTCTACTCCACTTTTAGAACTCTCGGTGTCACTGTCTAGAACTTTCTGATTCCCTGTACCTCTCCTGAGACGACGACATTTCTGCCCCCAGCTCTCTAGAAAGTGCGGACCGGTTGCCACTAGCATGGGGTTTCCCTGAAAGTTTCTCAGGGCGCTTCTGTGAGCATGCAGGTCACTGGCAGGGAGCATGCTCCTGCCATGGTCGGTGGCTGGGCCAGCTGGGATACTGAAGCCATAAAGGAATGGTACCCCTAGGCCTGCTAGTCCCTTGGAATTAACTTTTTCTATTCTCCTTTGTTGGTAAATGGCATGCATTTCCATTTCCATCCTAAAAACAGAACAATATATTTTATAAACCCAACAAAACCATTAGAAATATCATTTTAATGGCCCTCTGCCTTCCCTATTGTAGCACCTCTGCTTTTCTTTTGAGTCCTTATGCTACTTATCTGAAGTCTGTTAGGTGTAAACACGAATCTCCCAGACAGCCACTGGGAAGGAGAGTCTGGAGTAAGATCAGAGGTGAAGGGTTTGGCTGAATCTCACAATGGAAGTCTAAGGCCAGTCTTTAGAGCACTGTCTCTAATGGATGTGACAATCTTAGCAGGGATGGGGAGAATGCAGCACAGCATTAGTTTCTTGCCAGAGATTAATCCTCAAAGAAATTAAAGTTTTGGGAAGAAGTTTTTAAACCTTACAGTACAATTTTAGTGAGACTCAAGAAACACGGAAGTCTCAACTGTTAAAGTTAATGCCAGTGGTAAGGGTTGGGGAAGGGAGAAGGGGGGAAGACTTGCTGGTATTTTTGCTTACTTTACTTTGCTTATTGGTCATCACCTGGACCCCTTAATGTGCAGCAATGAAAAAGTTGACTGATGCTTTCTCTTGCCCACAGCAATAACCTAGTCATCACTGCTGTGTGTTTCTCCTGGCTGTTGAAGGCCACTTTTAGATTGACAGGGGGCTGTCTGGGCTCTAATGGCATAGTTTGAAGTGGGATTGGCAAGCTTGGCTCCTGTCTTTGAGCAGAACTGAAGTCATTTAAGACAGAAATGCCAGTATGAATTTCAAAGGAATCACAGCTAGGCATTTTAATTATGAGACATTGACAAGCTACTGTGATCTGCAGACTTAGCTTCACTGTGTAATTTCTAATCTTGTTTTTATCCTTAAACAACCTGTGTACATGTTTGTATATGTTTCTTTTTGTAATATTCCTGGAATACTTTTTGAAAGTAATCAGTGTGTGTGTGTGTGTGTGTATATGTATATATATATATATATATATAATCAGTGAATACATATACACAAATATAACAATATATACAAAAACAATACACAAATACAATAAATGAATGAATATAAAGTATATATGTAACAAATGAATAAACAAACAAGTGAATGAATAGAAAATAAAACAACATTGTTACATTACCTGGCAGTATGCTGCCTTTGAATCATTTCATTCCTTCTAGCCATTGCCTTTATGGATTCAGGTGGCAAAATGCCCCAACCTTAAACAAGAAAACCACCATCCCACCCCACAAACAAATTAACAACATCCACTTGAAAATAATGAAAGAAAATATAATGATTTAAAACAGTATCTGCAAAAAACCACCAACTGAGCACAGTGTTGGAAATGGTATCAGTTCATAGCTGTTCAGAATCTTAGAGTCACTTTGGTGATGGCATGATAACACCAGATAATTTTTTTCTTTTTTATGGCTGCGCCTTGCGGCTTGCGGGATCTTATTTCCCTGACCAGGGATTGACCCCAGGGCCCTGGCAGTGAAAGCACCGAGTTCAAACCACTGGACTGCCAGGGAATTCCCCAGATACTTTTTTTCTTTAAGTATGGGTCTCATGACTGGCAATGTTTCCCTACCATACTTCAAAAGGAAAAAGATGAAATTAACTGTGGATCTCTTGATCGCTTGCTTTTTCAGTAAATATTGATAATTTTTTTTTGGAAGAAAAGAATTAGCTGACCTTAAAAAAAAAAGTAACTAAGTGCTTCTTTATGCACTGAAATCCCTGGAAATAATACAGTGGGTTTTTTTTTGTTTTTGTTTTTTTTGCGGTATGTGGGCCTCTCACTGTCGTGGCCTCTCCCGTTGCGGAGCACAGGCTCCAGACACGCAAGCTCAACGGCCATGGCTCACGGGCCCAGCCGCTGCGTGGCATGTGGGATCTTCCCGGACCGGGGCACGAACCCGTGTCCCCTGCATCGGCAGGTGGACTCTCAACCACTGCGCCACCAGGGAAGCCCCAAATACAGTGTTTTAAGTGGATAAAATATGAAGCTCTCTACGTGGACTTTTGGGTGTAGCTGAGGAAAATACTTTTTACAAAACAATTTCAATGGAGTTGAACAGCAATTACATTCTGTGTCAACCTTCCAATATGTCTTAAGGTAATGACAGCATCGTCAGAATTCAAGGCTCTATTCTTGCCTGGTAACTTCATGCTTATATTGATTTTTTCTTTCTCTGGACTCCTAATGCACTTAGAGTCTATGCTGGTGCTTCTCAAACCATCCCTTGGTGAAGGACTATTTTTTTCTTTTAAAATTTCCAACCCATCATGGACCAATACTTTCAAAAAATACATAAAATGACATTTTAGAAAATTGAAATGAAAACAAGAACAAGTACAAGCACAATTTAAAACGATTAGATTAACAGACATAAAATTACCCTGTCAGGTTGCTGTGAAAGTTTCTAAGCCTTACTCTCTGTTTATGCATTTATTTGTACAAACACTTCTCAGACCAGCATAGGTCTACAGACCACACTGTAACAATAACAGATGCACAAATTATACTTATTACAGAGTTTTGTTCAATGATAGTTTTACTTGTGTAAATCTGTTCTCCCCAACAAGAGGGCAAGTATCATGAAGGCTAGAACTGTTTTTATACTTGCCTTGTACCAAGCTAGCAGAGCTCGTTTAACTCCTATTAATAATAACCTATCTTGAAATACACCATACTGTATCTATTTTTAAGAGATTCTCTCTCAGTTGTAAAATTCAGAGGTTAGATGACGTGGCCTCTAAAAATCCTTCTGACTCTAAACCTCTATATTTTTATAGTTCAGGGCCTTTGAGATATTCTCCTTGAGACAGCTGGCATGCATAAGACTGCCAACCCACGGGGTAATGCCCAAGGATGCAGAGACTGTCCATGTGAGAAGATCAGTGTAGCGGGTACAATTCTCATTACCTGGATTTTAGCACCCTATGAAATGTGGACTCATCAAACCTATTTCAAGTTTCTTTCTCTTTCCCAAATAGTTGACATCAAACTTAGTGCTAGTCCTGTTGTAATAATCCACTCCCTACCTAACATCCCAAATTTTGAAACAGATCCCTGTCTTAATCCCTATTTTGCTAACTTACTTAGTGGCTCAGTTTCTATAGGACTGAGGCCCTACCTTGCCCTTGCTTACTCTCTTACACGTCAGCCTTGAGGTGGGAGACTGACCTCTGTTCCTGGGACAGGTTGTCAACCTGCCTGTTTGTATCCAACTATTGGCAGTTTCTGGATTCTTCATCAGTAAGCAGCTCTTTCTGAGTCAGCAATGCAGCTATTTCACTGGCCTGCTTAATTGCTGCCTGTAACTTCGGGCTATAGATTTAACCTGGTTCTTGCTGCCAGATGGGGCTACCATCCAGGTTCAGCTGATGGGCCTGTCACACTCCAGTGGGTGTGTCTAGTTTCAGACCTGGCCCCTGCTCAATCTCATCGAAGTGGACCCACATGCACTGCGGCAGACAACATGCTTCAGTCCAGGCAGGCCAGTGTCTTCACTGGCCCTGGCACCAATCTTGTTTCTTTCTGTCTCAGGCTTTTCACTCACATTGTTCATATCTAGTGGGTTGGCAAAAAGTTCATTTGGGTTTTCCTGTAACATGGAAAACTCGAATGAACTTTTCGGCTAACTCAGTATTAAGAGTTGTTGGAACTGGAGAGCAGGGACAAACAGAAACTCACTGAATATAGTTTGGGGGAGATAAGATGCATCAATCTGATCTTCAATCTTATTCCCTCTTGAGCCCCTACACTCATGTTTTTACTGACACCACTCTGCTGAAATTGCTCTTATCGAGATCATCAATGACCTCCACAAAGCTATATCTAATCATGTATTCTTGGTCCTCATCTTACTTGGCCTTTGAGTGGCACACTTGACACAGTTGCTCACTCTTTCCTTAAAACACGTTCTTCCCTTGGTTTCCAGGCCTCCGTCCTCTCCTGGGTTTCCTCCCACCTCAGTGGTTGCTTTTTCTATATCTCCGTTTATCTTCTAGACCCTGTTGGTACATCCCAGGGATCATCCTTTCAACTTGTAACTCATCCTTTTAACCCACTCTATGGATGATCTCATCTAGTCTCATATATCCCGATGACTTCCAAAATTATATCTCCAGGTTGTCTCCAGAAGTCCTCCCTGGACTTCAGCTGCCTTCCAGACATCTCCCCCATTGATTGTCTATTAGGCATCTCAAATGCCTATGATATCCCTCCCGCCCCAAGAACTCTTGCTTTCATGGTCTTCCTCAACTCAGTGAAGAGCAACTCCACCTTTCCCATTTCTCAGCCAAAATTTCTGATGTCATCCTTAACACCTCTCCTCTTTTCACATCTCATATCTAAACTCTGAGAAAATCTTGTTGTTTCTACCTTCAAAGTATTTACAGAATCCAGCCACTTCTTACCATTCCTACTGTCACCACACAGGGCCAATCCATCATAATCTTTTGACTATTCTAATAGCCCATTAACTCCCATCAGTTTAACTCCAGAACTTTAATCCTATCAAGTTTGTCCCCAACACAGCAGCCAGAGTGATCCTGGTAAAATGTAAGTCAGACCATGTCATTCCTTTGCTCAAACTCCTCAAAAGCTTTCCCTCTTCCCCAGAATAAAAGGCAGGTCCTCACTATGGCCTATCAGGCCATATGTAAACTGCCCCAGGGCCTTTAACTCTCAGACCTCATCTCCTCATGACCTCATCAGTTCCTGCCTGTAAGATAAGACAGATAGTAATTGCAGATTTTCATGTTATTCATCAGTAAATTGATGGTTGGAGGAGTTAAGCGACTTACACTTGGTTACACAGTGGTGGAACCATGATTTAAACCTAGGTAGTAATTATAGAAACTACAAGTATAATCACCATACAGTTTTGCCTCTAAAATTTGGCAGTAAATTTGATGGCAAGCTTAATGCAGCAGTCCAGTTCACAGTGGCTCCACAGACGAGAGCCATCTGTTGCTCATACCTGAGTAGACATGACTGGACAGCACGTTCGGCATATTTGCATTTGGTAGAGCAGAGAATCCAAATTGGGAAGGAACATAAAACTGTCTTGGGTCAGTTGGAGCTACAGTGGGAGGCAGTAAATCTCTAGGGAAAAAGATACAAATTAGGATATTACTCAGCCATAAAAAGAAATGAAATTGAGCTATTTGTAATGAGGTGGATAGACCTAGAGTCTGTCATGCAGAGTGAAGTAAGTCAGAAAGAGAAAAACAAATACTGTATGCTAACACATATATATGGAATTTAAGAAAAAAAAATGTCATGAAGAACCTGGGGTAAGACAGGAATAAAGACACAGACCTACTGGAGAACGGACTTGAGAATATGGGGAGGGGGAAGGGTGAGCTGTAACAAAGCGAGAGAGAGGCCTGGACATATACACACTACCAAACGTAAGGTAGATAGCTAGTGGGAAGCAGCTGCATAGCACAGGGAGATCAGCTCGGTGCTTTGTGACCACCTGGATGGGTGGGATAGGGAGGGTGGGAGGGAAGGAGATGCAAGAGGGAAGAGATATGGGAACATTACGTATATGTATTCACTTTGTTATAAAGCAGAAACTAACACACCATTTAAAGCAATTATACCCCAATAAAGATGTTAAAAAAAAAAAGAAAAGATACAAATTAGGTAAAATGAAAATGGAATTGTACAAAATTTCCATTGCATAGACAGTGAGGTTTTTTTTATTGCCATATGGGATTCTATCATCTCTTCCCAAAATGAAGTACAAAAGTCCTGCAGTCTCTATTGGCTTAAGTAGAAATATGATGAGAAAGCTTAGGAGGAAGGGCTCTACTAAGGAAGGACTAACTCAGCTGCCAACACAACAGAGAAAGCAGGAAAGGGAAGTTTTAGGGATGTCAGGGGAAAAAAAAGATCCAATCAAATCAGTACCAACGTCTGATTTTCCATTCTTGACCACAACATTCTTTCCTCATTTGATAAACATACTGTGGCTTGAGTTTTGCCATCTGGGATCAGTGACTACCTGGGTGGACAATTTATTTCTCCACACTTCAGTGGTCTCTAGAAGTCCAACTCTTTTGTTCATGCTCCATGAACAAGCATAAATACTGAATTTTTCTTTCTCCTCAGAATGTCAGACTATATCAATATATTCAAAAGAAGGGAAGACAGGAAACTGCCAGAGTGTACAACCAAAATACTGATAACTTCACTTTTATTGCAAAGAAAGAATTGCTCTATCACAGGAAATCCAGGATACCCAATTGTTATGGACTGAAGTGTGTTCCTAACCCCTGCCCCACCATGCGACTGTCTTTGGAGCCACGGCCTTTAAGGGGGTAATTAAAGTTAAATGAAGTCCTAAGGGTGGCGCCCCAGTAGGACTGGTGTTCTTATAAGAAGAGGAAGAGACACCAGAAGTGCTTGCACACAGAGAAAAAGCATGTGAAGACACAGAGAAAAAGGCAGTCAAGTCTGCAAGCCAAGGAGAGAAGCCTCAGGAGAAACAAAACCTGCCAGTACCTTGATCTAGGACTTTCAGCCTCCAGAACTGTGAGAAATAAAATTAAGCCACCCAGTCTGTGGTATTTTGCTACCACAGCCCTAGCAGACTACATCCACGTTTGCACCTATGCGATGCCTGTCACATAGAAAGTGCTCCTTAGCTATTTGCTGAGTGAGGACGTCAAGCAGGCCTCAAAGGGGAAGTGATGCAAAGTTTGTTGAAGATGTGGCCGGCAGATTTATTGCACCACAGTTCCCTGAAATAACATTAGACAATAAAACAACACTGGGATTAACAGCATTTGAAACCTTAATAATATCCATTTTCTCCTTTGACTGGAATATGGTATTGAAGAGAGATACCTATCCACACTTGGAGGTTCAAATGGTGAGGGAACCAGTGGAATCCTCTGATGCCCTGATGCTGTCAATAAAGGGTTCACGGCCATCATTGGGTTTATCATCAATATCTCTTGCCACTGATGGAGTTCTAAAAAAAACCAGATAGATATGTCAACAAACACCTCTACTTTTTGTGAACTATTTGAATTCTTCTTGAACACGATGAACACCTTTTGTATTTTCCCAACACTTGGGAAGACTAACTACAGCAAGGTTTCAGTTACACAAAAACCCCTCCATTGTTAAGTACCCAGATACAACTGTAGAACTCCGTGTGCCTTTGGAATTTGTTGGAGAGTCCACAGGTAATACCATACCACACTACAAGCAACACTAATAAAATTAAACCAGTTTTGCGAGATTCCAGAAATACCATCTTCTTTTATTACAACTTATTTTGATGTTTATATTTCCAGAAGTACAAATGCACGTATGCTCCCATATGTTAAATTTTTGGAAAAATATTCCTATTTAGTTCATAAGATTAAAACAGAAAAGAGGAGGAAAATCTTCCTAATGGCCCAAAATACGTCTAATTAAAGTGAATACAGGCTGACTGCATGTGTCTAACTAGAACAAGTGACCAAGTTATATCCAAACATACATAAACACAAGCATTCATAACTTTATCTAGAACCTAGTGATCAGAAAAAGGGACCATTATAAAAGGGGTAAAATTTTGTCTTATATTTTCTTATTAATTATTAACATCTTTTGAATAATTTTAAATATTAAATGAGTGTTAGTCAAACAGGTCACTTTAGCTTCTTCATCCTCAAGTTACTTTAAAAAAAACTGAGATAACTACAACTATGTTTGAAAAAAAAAGGAAATCAGGAAGAAAATGTTCTGCTTCTCAAAGTAGTGATGTTTTTTTCTTTCTCGTGTGCATATTTGATTTAATTTTTAAGAGTTAATACATTCATATGGTTCCAAAACTAGAAATACAATGGTATTTAAAAAAGCAGTCACTTCTTTAGCTTCTTTTCCAGGCCTAAACCTACGGATCAACTTCGAAATTCAAGTCCACAGGTCACCTAGCGTTGGCTTTCACCATTCATATACATTTTTTTCAAGTTTTGAATGTGGATTTCTTTTCACTATTTCTGTGAGGTCGATATAATTTCTTCCCTGATAGCGGCCTCAGAGTAGTGACCAGTCAGAATCAGGATAAAATTATTTGCCAGATGCCTGCCAGCCAGGGTGAGATGCCAAGAAAGAACTCAGGCCAGGTGTGTCAGCTGTGGGCTTGCATCTCTGGTGAGGACACTGCTCCTTGGCTTAGAACCTCAGGTCCTCCGCATCTGAGATTTGGTGCACAGCCACCTTTTTTCACCTCGTCCATTACACAACAGAACAGTGTGGGACACAACGTGGGGTTTCCTTTTGAAATACTGTTGAACTTTGATTTGTGTCATGAATTGACAGTCTCTGGTAGAAGTTTGAACTTACCTATGAGAGAGATAGAAACTTTGAAGCTGTGACATATAGTGCTCATCTTGCATTTTATGTGATGCCTGAAACAAATCTGGAGGAAGGAGAAGGAAGAAAAGGAGTGCAGAAACCCTCCAGAGCAAGCATTGCCTAGAGGCTGACCACCCCGCTACTTCACATGTCACCACAGGGAAGTACCATGGAGACTACTCACCAAGAGCGGATGAGACTATCTTACTTTGGGATTCCTCCAAAGCAGGCCTGAGACAAGGACTTGAATGAAGGTAATTTATTTGGGAGGTAATCCCAGGAAGCCCACATGAGGGAGTGGGTGAGACCAGGAAGGGAAAAAAAGCCAATAAGGGGTGAGCTAATCTGTGAGTTACCACTATGGACAACCTTCTGAGGACCCTCTAAGAAAACTTGTAGTACACACCTCATAACTGTCCCAGTGGAAGACACAGAGCTGGCCATTTACCCACTGATTTCTGTCAGCCACTGGTGGAGGGCAACGTTCTCCCTTGCATCTGGGTTATGCCGGAGCTAGATCCAACAAGCTCCTACAGTGCCGGAGAAAGCCTTCAGGCTGAAGCAGAGAAATGCACGTGCTTGAGATGGGAAATGGCCTCTATGGTTGCAGGTGAACTCAGAAAGGGGGTATGGGTAAGGCAGCAAGAACTGTTGAGGCCACGTGATTACTTTCTAATGTCATTCCACTAATCGACACAAATGCCTTTCTTCTGGACTACCAGGTTTGCCAGGCATAGGCACATTTCTACGAGGTTCTGTAGGGTCCATTGTCTGCAACAACACAGCTGGATTTTTTTCACTGTTATTCATGTGTTCAGTGAAATGAGTGGGGGACTTAAGGCTATTGAGCCAATGGAGTTGAAGAAATGAGGCATCGGAGACAAGCCTCATCTAATTTACCATTAAAGCCCTCCTTGGTACCATACCTGTCCTGGATTCCATGGTGCCTGAATCTGACTTTCTTTCTTTTTGCAATGCCAGGGAAATTGAATGTAATCTATAAAATTCTGTTACACTCTGACATGGTAATTTATTATTTTTAATCAGTCTACCAAATTTTTTCCTAAAATGTAAATTATTCCCAAGTCTACAGAAATGTCCCTATGTCATGAAGGTCCCTGGGAAGGACAATGAGTCATTGGCACCTACCACACCTGAGTGTTACAGTTCTGGGCTCCACCTGGCTTCCCTAGTTTCTTTTCATCTTTACACCTGTGAGAAAGTGCTTATTTACTTACCACGACATCTATTAGTGCCCAAATTTTCTTAAAAAAAAATTATAGCCCTGTGCTATAGACTGTCTCCCCTCAAAATTTGTATGTTGAAACCTAATCCCCAAAGCGATGGTATTTGGAGGTGGGGCGTTTTGGAGGTGATTTAGGTCATGAGTGTGGAGCCCTCATGTATGGAATTAGTACTCTTAGAATAGAGACAGCAGAGAGCTCCCTCAGCCTTTCCTCCACATAGGACACAGTGAGACGAAGGCCATCTACGAACCAGGAAGCAAGTCCTCACCAGACACTGAACCTGCTAGTGCCTTGACCTTGAACTTCCCTGCCTCCAGAATTGTGAGAAATTAATTTCTGTTTATAAGCCACCCAGATTATAGTATTCTGTTATAGCAGCCTGAATGGAGGAAGGCAATTTTTAATGTTGTGCCTGTTATCTTTTGAATGTCCCAAATTTTATATATGTATATTTTATAATTATATATATACATATATATATATATTTTAACATCTTTATTGGAGTATAATTGCTTTACAATGGTGTGTTAGTTTCTGCTTTATAACAAAGTGAATCAGCTATACATATACATATGTCCCCATATCCCCTCCCTATCCCACCCCTCTAGGGGGTCACAAAGCACCAAGCTGATCTCCCTGTGCTATGCGGTTGCTTCCCACTAGCTATCTATTTTACATTTGGTACTGTATATAAGTCCATGCCAGTCTCTCACTTCATTCCCAGCTTACCCTTCCCCCTCCCCGTGTCCTCAAGTCCAGTCTCTACATCTGTGTCTTTATTCCTGTCCTGCCCCTAGGTTCTTCAGAACATTTTTTTTTTTTTTAGATTCCATATATATGTGTTAGCATACGGTATTTGTTTTTCTCTTTCTGACTTACTTCACTCTGTATGACAGACTCCAGGTCCATCCACCTCACTACAAATAACTCAATTTCATTTCTTTTTATGACTGAGTAATATTCCATTGTATATATGTGCCACATCTTCTTTATCCAGTCATCTGTCGATGGACACTTAGGTTGCTTCCATGTCCTGGCTATTGTAAATAGTGCTGCAGTGAACACTGTGGTCCATGTCTCTTTTTGAATTATGGTTTTCTCAGGGTATATGCCCAGTAGTGGGATTGCTGGGCCATATGGTAGTTCTACTTTTAGTTTTTTAAGGAACCTCCATACTGTTCTTCTTTTTTTTTTTTAATAGACTATTTTTAAGAGCAATTTTATGTTCACAGCAAAACTGGGTAGACAGTACAAAGAATTCACATATACCTCTCCCACACACACACATAGCCTCCCCACTATCAACATCCTGCACCAGAGTCTTACATTTGTTACAATGATGAACCTACACTGACACCTCACTATTACTGAAAGGCCACGGGTTCCCTTAGGGTTGGTTCACTCTTTCTGTTGTACATTCTTTGGGTTTTGACAAATGTATAATGACATGTACCCACCATTACAGCCTCATACAGAATAGTTTCACTGCCCTAAACCAAATTATATTTTAAAGCAAATATCATCAGACACTTCCAAGGAAGTACTCTGGGGTTGACCAGACCTTTCACTTTACCAGCTAGGTAGATAAATACTTGAAGCTCCAAATGTGTGTTTCTACAAACTCACCGTTTTGGAGTTCCTCAGTCATGGATCAACCCGTGAGTCTTTAAACATTAACATTCACATTTTCAGGGTATCCTCTTCTACATGTTTAGAAACATGTAGACAATTTTTGAACCAAGGTCACTTTGCTGTGGCACGTGAAATGCTCCTGAGTCAAAGCGTAGACTGGGACATCCGTTCTGAATGCAGAGCGTGTCTGATGATCCCCAATGCAGGAATGCACTGGTGCTTAGGTTTGCATTCAGGCTGGATTTCTTTGACCTAGGGCTCTGATCCTGGATGCCCAGCACTTTAGGAGGATGAAGACTCCTTAATCTCTGTCTTCAGACTCTTACCCTCAACAAACCCTTCCAGGCAGCACATAGAAGATTTAGCTAGTGCTAATTCTGTCTCAACTGATTAGGGCAATAGTAGTAAGACATGAACTCCATGAACTTGCCGAACCATGAAACAAAGCCCTTGCCGAATCAGCAGATACTTACTGAGTACTGACTGCTACTATGGAGAACGCTTGCCTGTCTTATGCATCGCAGCCAGGTGCCAATTCCATTCCATTTCTTTACATGGCTTTACTATGACCATTCATTAAAGTCAATACAATTTGAGTTTGGCCAACCCTGAATTTAAGCAATTATATATAGAATACTTATTGCACGTATGCTGCATGAATTCTGGGATTATATTCATTAAGATAAATTAATTTTTAAGTAACTGCTGTATTCGGTAAGTTTTTACATTTGAAAGGT